GCATAGCGCATCACGTGGGTGGCACAAGGAACACAACCGCAGCAGCCACAGGGGACTCGCACCCAGCCAGCCACAGGAGCCGCTTGATTCTCAGCCTCCCCAGCTATGGCAATGGGGTTGCCAACTTTCTTCTTGGCCAGAGCAAAAAAATTACCCAAAGCTGCTTTTCCCAGTGCCAGCTGCCGATCCTAGGGTAGGAGGTTTAACCGCCTGACGCTGGCGGGGGGGGGAACAGCTATGGAGCCAGGCAGCGAAGCAGGGCAGCTTGTGCCAGCTCTTCCTCTGCTGCGGTGCAGACAGGGACCACCCCATGAGGACACGATGTGCCCAGGCCAGCCCGGCAGAGGGGACCCCATCGCAGGCAGAGGGCATGCATCCCACCACCTCCTGCTTCCTACCTTGAGCCGGACGACGTGCGGGATCTTCACACCATTGAGATAGCATTTGATCTGGGGAATGCCGCTGCCGGCTGCGACGGGCTGTGGAGAGCAGGGAGAGCATGAGCGGCTGCCAAGTACAGGACAGGGACACACTGGCCACCTTACCCCTGTCTCCCAGCACAAGGCACACCAAGCACACCCTCGGGGAGGCTCAGAGACGAGGCCAAAGCCTATCTACAGGCTCTGGAGGTGGTCTTGAGGGAGGCACCCACTGCCCCTGCAGGCAAACGTGCTAGAGAGGAGTTGGCTGGGTTCTTGGGGGACATTAGGGTGTTCCCACCACCGTGCCATGGCAAGAGGCCCAGTGCTGCAGAAGGCTCACACCTGGTGGCCAGGGAGAGCAAGGGCAAAGCCACAAGGAAGACACTGCTCACTCAGAGTGGCCCATAGGGAGCCATCACCCCCTCTCCCAGCCATAACCAGCCCCAGTCTCTGGCTCATCCTCCAGAGCACGTCCCCGAGGCACCCAACCATTCTGCTTTCTGCCAGCACTCATGTACGCCCAACGCAGAGAGACTGAGCCAGGACTGAGGCTTGCGAGAACTGCGCCCAAGACTGGAACACACCCTCTGCCCCAGGCTGCCAGCGAAGGGCAGCACGTCCAACAGTCTGACAACCCTGGAGAAACTCAACGGCACAGCTGGAGCCAACGCCGAGGAACTGGGGCTACCAAGAGCCAATTCGGCAGAAATACATTTGCTATTACACAAATTCACATGTTTTCTGAAGACACAATCCTGCTTCCCCCATGTAAAGGGCAGGAGGCACAGGGATGCCCTAACCCAGAACAGTTCCAAACTCTTACCTCTATGAAAGCAACGATTACGGAGCCCACCATCACCACGCTGGCATTCAGGGTGGCCCAGAGTAACAGGGAGAAAGACAGGCCCCCTTTCTCCGTGAACTTGTCAATGTCTGGGGAAGCAGCTCAAGGAAAGGCCCGTATCGGTTGGGTACCATCCCTCCCACAGGGATAACGCGTCGCTAAAACGCTTCTTGGACTGCGGCAGCGCAGCAGATCCTGTGCACTTAGGGCAGCCAGGGCTGCTGCGAGGAGCCTCCTCCATTACAGCAGTGCATAGCCACAGCTCGGCCCCGCAGGGCGGCCGGGCACTGAGCAGCACCCTCAGCAGCAAGCTCTGTGCCACCAAACCCAGGCGAGGAAGCGCTGCCATCTCCCCCGGCACCCCTCTCGTGGCTACCAGGAGCAGACATCCTGCAGCTCCCAGCTGGCCAGCGGCCACAGCTCCATGGGAGGATACTGCCCTTCACCACCCGGTACTTCAGCCCAGCCAGGTTCTCCACCACGATGTCAATGAAGCACGCGACGAGGCCGGTGAGGATGCCAATCATGGCACAGATGACCCAGCGCTTGATCTCCACTGTCCGGAAAGCCTGAGGGACAGACAGCTATCAGATGCTGCTGCCGCCCAGCCTGGCCCCCGCCAGCGTTGGGGGGACTCCAACCCACCTGGCCACCTTCCCCAATATGGCCTTAAGCCTGGCAAGGAGAACTGCCCAGGGAAAAGCAATGCTGCCTGACCCAGGATTGCAAAGCCTGGCCACAATTTACTTATTTTAAGCCAGTGCCCTTGCCCTGCTGTGGGATCCCTAAAAGCAGACATGCTTCTCCAGCTTTCCTGCCTCTGTCAGGCCCCTGCTGTTGGGCTGCTTGCTGCAGCACAGACTCCCAAAGGCTGCCTGGCAAGGAGAACTGCCCAGGGAAAAGCAATGCTGCCTGACCCAGGATTGCAAAGCCTGGCCACAATTTACTTATTTTAAGCCAGTGCCCTTGCCCTGCTGTGGGATCCCTAAAAGCAGACATGCTTCTCCAGCTTTCCTGCCTCTGTCAGGCCCCTGCTGTTGGGCTTCTTGCTGCAGCACAGACTCCCAAAGGCCGCAGGATGGCTGCTTCACATGGCTCCAGAAGTCCCCTTGCTCAGGGATCTGCCCTGTGCTGCCTGGCAATGCCACCGTACGCACCCAGGCTAGCTCCTGTTCGAACTGTCCCATGCTGGCTCCTTGCTCCTCAGGTTTTACGGCTCATCACAAGCTGGTTGGTGCCCATATACCCACCATGGCTCAAGCACAGCTTTGAGCATGACCTGTCCTGGGGCAGAGAAGCCCCCCCAGCAGCCAGGTAAGGGGGAATGGTGTCCCTGGGCCATCCCAGCTGCAGGGACGGTGGGCAACTGGTTCGCAGCAACACTCACGGTGTGGTTTATCCTCCTCTCCTCCTCCAGGAACAGCTGGTTTTCACTGTTGTCATAGTCCAGGCTCTAGTTCAGGAAAGGGAGATGCTGTTACCATCTAGCATGGGGGAAGACACCCGTGCTGGGGAGGGCTGGCCTCAGACCCTCACCCCTGCCCCTCTGCACCCCTGCATCTTTTTCCTCCCTCAAACCCGCTCCTTTCCTGCTGCAACCCCT